TCTAGGCTTTTCATTAGTAGAGCTGGAATGAGTTCATATTGATACTTCCAATTAAGCACTATAGGCTTACTTACCCTCTTCTAGGTTACATCTGTGTTTCCTTTCATTCCACATTGAGTCCTAGTTCTTGAGAACAGACAGGATGATAGAATAAAATATCCCATCATTGCTCAGTTGCTTTAACTTTATAGTTTCAGAATAAAAACTTTAATACTACTACTATCAATTATGATTACTGAAAAGAGTTACAATTTTTTTTGCATAGGTGCTCCCTATTCTCCTCTTATTTTTTGAATGGTTGTATTATATCTACATTATCAGAACATATAGCCGTTACATACTTACTCTCTCCCTCTTAACCCTCATTTAGTCTCAGCACTGCCAGTAAATATATATCTGACGCTCACCATCTGTCCTTATGCTAATGCCTCTCTGGTTATTTTGGTTCTCGGGAAACTCATTCCCTAAAAGATTCTTCAGAAAGGGCTCATAGGAACAATATTCCCTTGAGTTCTTTTTACCAAGAGGTAACAGTTTAGGCGTCCCCTTTGTATTTGACAGTCACTTTTGCTGGGTATAAAATCCTTGCTTCACATTTTCTTTCTGGGACTATCTTCGTATAATACACATCTTTTTTTTTTTCCCTAACATAAATGGTTGTGGTTAAAAGTCTGATGATAATCTAATTTTCTTTTCCTTATAAGTTGCTTTTTTTCCCTAGATGCCCAAAGAGTTTTTCTTTTTTGTTAAAATTCAATAATTTTATTAAAATTTGTCTTGATGTTGGTTGTGCTGGGTTGATATAATCAGGTTCACAATGTGTTTTTTTTAATATATAGTTTTGTGTCATTTGTCTTTAAGAGAAATTTTTGAATTACAGTTTGAGACAATCACTTCTATTTCTTGTTTTAGTTCTTATTGATACTTTCATATTTTTAACAATATAAGTGATATCTTATATTGCTATTTTTCTTAATTTAAGTACTGTCTATTGACATCCTATTATTTTAGACAAGACTTGATGTTATTTCATCCCATTCTGCCTCACTCCCATTTTTAATATCCACCTCAGTATTTTCAGTTCCTACGGAGTTGTCTTTGTAACTTTCATAATAAACTGAAATCTTTATCTCTTGTTTCAACACCTTTTGATAGTCTTGATTCCCATTTTATAACATGGGGACATCACCACTTTCCCTTCCCCCTTCCACCACCAACTTTTCTCAGCTGTACCTTTGCTTTTGTATTTTCATACTTGATAGCTTTTGGATTCTGTTTAGGAACCATATTGAAGTCTTCAATGCTTTGTCTATGGGATTATTCTAAAAGCTGAAAACCAATACAAAGCATTTCTCTTTTTATTACTATATAAGTACTGTTTATTGCACTGCCACATGGCATGCTATGATTACAGTTTTAATGTAGAATTCTTGTGCCACTAAAGGAACATGTTTGTAGCATTAAAGGTCAAGTGGTCTTTTTTACATTCTGCCAATTGCTAAAATCTTTCCAAATTTTAATTTGAATCATAACTGAACCTTAACTTTTGTGTGCAGTTTTTTCTTTTTCCTGAAATTTGATCTCCCTTTTATTTTCTCATTAGGGATGTTCTTGTTAAGGATTATAAACTATTTTTGTTTTTCTAACCTATATCCCTGGTACTTTTTTTGTCTTAGTCACTCTGTCCGTTTATTGGAATCATTTCTGTTCTTCTTGAGGACTTTCTTCTTGGATCTCACTGACTCCTTGTACTCATTTGATCTGACTGCCTTTTCATCCTGCTCCACTGCTTTCATACAGGGATTTTTGAAACTTGGGGCTTATTTGTTGCATTCCACATCTCCTTTTTCTTGTAAATTTTACACTTCTTTTGCTGGAATAGCTGATGGAGTAGTTTTTCTGAATGGGCCCATATAAAAGATATATAATTTGAATCTTTGCCTATTTTAAATAGATATTTCATCCTCGTGCTTAAAATAGCTGGATTGGGTAAAAAAAATTCCAGGTTCCAAATGTTTTCCCCTCAGAACTGTAAAGGCCTTTTTCCAGTGCCTTCTAGATTTCAGGACATTGATGAAAAGTCTGATTCCAATCTGCTTATCCCTTTGTAGGTAACCTGTTTTATTTTCTTTAAAACCTTTAGGATCTTCTCATTATTCTTGGTATTCTGAAAAGTATTTATTGATTAATAGCCAAAGTTATATATAACATCAGCTTAGTGCATTATATAGAATTGGATGTTAGGCATAACATTTGTATTTTAAAGAAATGGACTTCTTTCTATTTTCCAGAACCATGCTACACAGTAAAACATAGATTGGCTTTTCTTTATCTTCATAGCAACCCCATGAGATAGGTATAATCTTGCCATTATGGAGCTGGGTCATCTAAGGTTAGAATCTCTTCTTAAGATAACCTAGTAGTTCACAGCAGTAAATAGAAGAGCTAGGATTTGATTGCAACACAATTTTCTCCCCACTAATCTTTTTCAAACCCTTTTATAATTTCATATTCTCTCAAAAAACCCATGTAATGAAAACATGGCCAACTAAAATAGTACCACACTAAGTCGTGAGGGAATCTGTAGAAATAGAGTTCAGGTGCCTGCTTTAATGGTGGGTGGGTGGGCTGCCCAGGGGTGCATGTTTACTTAGGGTGGACTCCCAGCTTAAGCCCCATGCTCTGATTGGTTGGGTTCTAGCGTTAGACCACCTGGCTTCAGGTCCTGGACCCACGCCTTGCCAGCTCAGATCCTAGCAAGTTACTTAGTCTCAAAGTTTCAGGTTCTCCCTCTGTAAGACAAGAATTGTCATGGCATCTCCCTCCAGGGATGTTCAGAGGAATAAGTGAACTAATCCACAGGAAATGCTTAGCTCAGCCAGGCAGAGTAAGAGCTCATAGATGTCACTTGTCACTACATTGTCCTTACCAGTCTGACAGCCACGGCATACATACCTTTAGGCCGGGATTTTTCCTCATTCGCAGCCGTCCCATCCACATGTCGGTCAGCAGCATCTGGCTGCAGGTGTGAGCGATGAAGTCCCGGTGTTTGGCTGCGACGGCTAGCTTGAGGCAGGTCGAGTTGCTCCAGTTTTTCAACTCATAGGTGAGCAGTTTCATGGCAATCTGCTCGTCGTGCTTATAGGACTGATCTAACAACTCCACAGCCAGCTGGCCAAAGTCCCTGGAGGGAAAGAAATGAAGTAGGGGCTGAAGCCGCAGTGGCCACACACTCTTTGTTAGAGAGAGACATCCACAGGGACATCATGGAGCCAAAGGACACGGAATTCTTGATTTCCAATCCTCTGCAAGCAGGAAGCTCGTGGGGTATGTCCCCAGAGGGGGACAGCTGGGGCTAGGGCTCCAAGCTCAGTTACGTTGGGGGCTGACTGCTCTTGCTGCAAATGGGGTTTTAGGTTGACCCCAAATCTGCCTTTCTCTCCCCAGGGACACACCCTCAAGTGTTCACAGAACAGGGATGCAGACAGAAAGGACAGCAAAGGTGAGTTCAAAAACAGCCCTTGTGGGATTGGAAGTCAGAATGGTGGCTACCCTTTGTGGAGTGGGCAGGTGGACATTGAAAGAGAGCACCAGGAGGGCTCTCGGGTGCAGGTAGGGTCCTGTTTCTTGATCTGGGTGTTGGTCAAACCAGTGTGTTCCGTTTGTGAACAGTCACCAAGCTGTACATTTGGGATATGTGCCTTTCTCTGTATGTGTGTAATACTTCAATAAGACATTGATTACAAGAGAATTCAACACTCTCAGCACTACGATAGAGACAAAGTCTAGTTGTCGTGGGGGCCCAGAGCAGGGAGGGCCTAATTGCTAGGGGTGTGTGTCGGGGGAAGTGATGGGAGCCAAGGGTGGGGGGTGGAGAAGGTGACACAAGCTGAATTGTGAACATAAAATTTATTCCTTTTTCCACATGACCCTGATTCAAATATTTAATGATAGTCATAAACATTCCAAGTTCCTTCAATATTTTTTCATGGAATGTGGTTAAAATATAGTCCCATAGTGATTACCCTTCTCTGTTTTTGTTTCTCCATTTTATAGAAGATTTTATTCCAATTATGAGCTGAAGGATGAAGAAGGGTGGAATTACGTATGGGGGAATGGCCTTCTCTGTTCCCTGAGAGGCATGCATGCTGCAGTCCCTTCTGGTCTCAGGTCCTGCATGCTGCAGGGAGACACATAACCATGAGAGTCCTCCAGGAAGCAGAGGGATGGCGTTGACCAACCCACTGAGGCAGGGGAACACGTCCCCATTTATAGACAGCCTTGAATACGTGACACTGAGAAATCAGCTAATGATTTTGGAAATAGAGTCCAAAATAAAAGCAGTGTGCTTCAGAAAACAAAGAAGCTAGATGTTGGCAGAGTTGCCTGTATGTGACTCAAGTTCATGTGTCTATAAAGTTGTGCTGGGACTTCCAGTTTCCGGTTCTTCATGTAAGGGGTTTGGAAGTTGCCACTGCATCCTAATGATAAGTAAGAAGCGGACAAAACTCAAAATCAACAACTCTTCTACATTCATCAGAGAATTGAGGTCACAGGGCAAACTGCTGCTCCCCCAAATTGGAGAGACGGACAGGCGGATACAGAGAATCACAACTTACCGGAGCAGAAACCCACGAGCAAAAACCTTCTCCAGAACCAGTGCCAGGGTAGAAAAACCTGAACTGTGATTCACAAATCGCTGGAGGCTCATGCGGACAAGTCTGAGAGCTAATAACTCCAGGGGGCTCAGTCTTAGGGGAGTGTGCACATACTTTTGTGAGTTTTACCTCCAGGAGCCCCACCAAGTTCTCTCAGAAAAGACTGGAGAAAAATCCCCTCATGCTGCTGGCAGGGGGAGGGGCAAAGGAACCATATTGAAATACACCAGAGTACTCTGTTCTTAACAAGGTCTGTCCTCAGGAGAAACTAGTTAACCAGAGCCTAGCCTATTGGGGTCTTATTTCAGCCTAACTGGGCTAGGGGAAGGGTAATACCCAACTTCAGCCGCCTGTAGCCCTCTTGTCCCACCTAAGGAGGAGAAAAACAGAGGTACTTGTGAAGGTCAAGTCCAAGGGCACAGGTTCACTAAAGTTGTATTCCTCTGAGTGTGTGTTTCCTTATGGAAATCTGTTTCATTGTCTTTGTATTAAAATTTTATTTCAATAATTTGCATGAGAAGGCAGAAAACAAAAGCGATGACCATCCAGAAATACCTCAGAGAGACAGAAGGAAAAAATATTGACATGAGGGACAAAGTGATTTATGAACAAGCTTTAAACATAATTGTACTTAACTGAGAAATCCATTTGCTACCCCTCCCCTCAAAGGGACAAGTACTCAGGACAATAATCTCTCCTGGTTTTTAGATTCCCTTGAGACACTAACTTTGAGTTGTTGTCCAAATCCTGGGAGATATCGTCCACCAGCTCACTCTCAGAGGACTCGTGGGCCATGGACTTGTAGAGCTTACAAGCCACCAGGGCCTTGGCCATGCTCTCCTCGCCTCGCTGCCATAGGAAGACCGCCATTTTTTGGCGTTTCATCAGCACAGCCCACACCATCAGCTCGTGGAAGGGGTACTGGAAACGACTCACAGCAGGATCGTCCACATCGATGTCGATCTCTTCCTCCTTTTTCTTCTTTTTCTTTTTCTTCCCTTTGGCTGGAGGCTCATCATCCTGAATGGAGATAAGCACATTTTTCACGGTTCTGCTATAAATGTGCAACAAAGGGTTTCAGGACCACTGGAAAAAGGAAAGACTTTCTGTCGGAAGTAATAAAGAGATTTCTTAAGTACATCTGAGGTTTCCACTTAGAATATTAATTCTTTTGAAAAGATGCACATGTTTATTATGATTAGTAGACCACCTAAAACCAAATGAACTGAAAAGACACACTACTGTTTGAAGAACTTATACCCCCGGGTTAGCAGTTTTTTTAGAAGCCTTTAAAATTGGAGGAGCTGCTGCAAAACTGAAAACAAAAAAAAAAACAACTTAAATACAAGTAGCACCATGGGAGAGATAAAGCCCACAGTTTATTTCCTCAGGGAAGTCTTCCAATATCAACACTTGTTTGCCAGACACAGATGAACCATAAATTAATAGGAAATATCTAAAAGAGGATACAAAAATGTCTCAGGTTTCTCGACCAATGGTTTAAGGGAGCAAATGTTCCATTTTGGAGGAGCTTTGTCCTTTTATGCATGTGGTACAAATGGAAAGCCAACATTTCCCATTTCCTAAAGGGATTATGATGCTGGAGAATTGGGGGTGAGACATGGGAGCATCATGGAAACATGTGGGGCTCAGACTATTCCAGGCTAAGACTTCAATACTCAGTGGAATAATAGAAACAGATATTTGTTCTTTTGCAAACAGCTTTCCCATCAATTATCTACTTGTATTTTTATAACTCTGAGAAGTTGTGAATTTCTTCCATTCCCTCAGATGAGGAAGTTGTGGCCGAAAGTCCGAATAATTTGCCCACATCCACACAGCTGGAGAGGCTCCGGCCTGGGGTAGCCTAGCTCTCCAGTTCCTATCACATGTT